GAACTGGCCAACTCCAGTTAATGTGAAGGAAATCAGGGGGTTCCTTGGGCTCACTGGTTACTATAGGAAGTTCATTAAGAAGTATGGAATTATTAGCAGGCCACTAACTGAATTGTTGAAGAAGGGTACACTGTTCATTTGGACACCAGCGGCTGAAACTGCTTTTGCAACCTTGAAGCAAGCTCTGATCCAAGCCCGTGTCCTGGTATTACCTGACTTCTCATTGCCCTTTGTGCTGGAAACTGATGCCTGTGATTATGGAATAGGATCAGTATTGATGCAAAAGGGTCACCCAATGGCATTTGTTAGTAAGGCCTTAGGACCAAAAAACAGAGGCATGTCTGTGTATGAGAAAGAATATATGGCCATTCTGCTTGCTGTAGAGCACTGGAGACCTTACTTGCAATTCCAAGAGTTTGTTATTAAAACAGACCAGAAAAGTCTTACTCATCTGACAGATCAAAGACTACATACCCCATGGCAGCAGAAAGTTTTCACTAAACTTTTCGGACTTAACTACAGAGTTGTGTATAAGAAGGGCACTGACAATTCTGATGATGATGCTCTTTCTATAAGTCCTCATCCATCTTCACAAGTGATGGTTATTTCCTCTGCTCAACCTAACTAGTTGCAGGAGATCATGGACAGTTATGGACAAGATCCAAAAGCTCAGGAGCTGTTGCAACAACTCTTTGTGCAACCAACATCCGGGCCCTCCTTCTCTTGAACTAATGGCCTCATCAAGTACAAAAACTTCATCTAGATTGGTAATGATGTTCAACTCCAAGCAAAGATTTGCCACGCTTTCCATGCTACACCTCTGGGTGGTCACTCAGGATTCTCTATTACTTACAAAAGAATTCATGCCTTGTTCAAGTGGTCTGGTATGAATACTTTCATCAAGGAGTTTGTGCAATCTTGCTTGATTTGTCAGAAGGCCAAACCTGAGAGGATTAATTACCCTGGCTTGCTATCACCTCTTCCAGTTCCTGCTAAAGCATGGGAAATAGTCACTATGGATTTCATTTATGGGCTGCCTCCTTCTGATCATTTTGACTGCATTATGGTGGTTATTGATAAGTCTACCAAATATGGCCACTTTATTCCAGTCAAACACCCCTACAATGCCCTTAAGATTGCTGAACTTTTCCTGGATAACATCTATACATTGCATGGTATGCCCTTGTTCATTGTTTCTGACAGAGACCCTGTCTTTACTAGTCAGTTCTGGCAGATCCTCACTAAAAGGATAGGAGTTACCTTGAATATGAGTACTGCCTATCAACCTAAGACTGATGGTCAGACTAAGAGAGTTAACCAACACATTGAATGTTATCTCAGATGTTTCATTTCTGCTCACCCTAGAAAATGGAACAAGTGGTTGTCACTCTGTGAGTTTTGGTATAACACCAACTGGCATTCTCCCCTCGGAAAATCCCCATTTGCAGTGTTGTATGGTCAGGAACCTAGATATTTTGGTATTACTCCTTCTGATACTATTGCTCCCCAGGATATACAGCGGTGGTTGGACTCCAGAATTGTGGTGCACGATACTCTCAGACAACATTTGCTCAGAACTCAACAAAGGATGAAGGTTCAGGCTAAAAAAACACAAAGATAGAGTCTTTGTTCTTGGTGACAAAGTTTTCTTGAAACTTCAGCCTTATGTGCAAAAATCAGTAGCTTCAAGATCCAACAACAAGTTGTCGGGCCATTCCCAGTTGTGGAGCGCATCGGTGAAGTGGCCTACCGCTTGGATCTGCCGCCTGACAGCAAGTTGCACCCAGTTTTCCATGTTTCTCAGCTTAAACAATTCATTTCACCCAAACATGCAGCTCAGCAGTCCCTGCCCCCTCCGGATATCAACTTCCAAGTACCCATTCGAGTGCTGCAACAACGGATTCGCCGCAAGAACAACCGTTCTATTGCCCAGATCTTCGTGGAATGGAGTGGATCCCAACGATCTGAACCTACATGGGAAGACAGAGACGCCTTGCAACAGGCGTTTCCACGAGCACCGGCTTGGGGACAAGCCGTGTTTCAAGAAAGGGGGGATGTCAGCAGCCAGGGCGTCGACATAAAAGATGAACCAGGCGAGAGGCGGGAACCAGAAGAATCAAGTCATGGGCCAAGGGGCCGGCCCACTCGCGCGCGTAAACTTCCCCAGTGGCTTGCAAGCCCAAACTGGGCCCGCTGAAGCGGGATGTCACGGTCGATGGTTTAAATACCGATGGCTGCTAGCGATAAGGACAGGAAGGACGATGGCGGCTTTGGCCTGACCAGAGAGAGAGAGAGAGAGAGAGAACTTTGTAATTTGAATTGGCTGTGTGGGAGGTTGGGTGGAAAGCTAAAGCAATAGAAAACCTAGATCTCGCCATGATCCTAGTAGGAACCTTACTTTTCGTGGAGCAAACAGGGAGATGAAACTGCAGGAGAAAACTACATGATTAAGAATATGTGCAGCGAATGAAAGATGTTAACAAATATTCAGAACAGACATGTGACGTTTAGTTGGTTTGAAAAAAAATTGTTATGCAGATTGATTTTAATCTTCTTTCAGTATGCTGCTTGGAAACTACACTCTTTGCAGCAGGTATCGTTCAATAGCCCAGGTAATAAAAATGCATATGCTTAATCTGCTCAAAGATATTAACCTTGTGACTAGCTGCAAAGCAATCACATAACAAGAAAGTACGACACCAGTTTAATTGTGGTCAGTTCAGAGATAATTTTGTTTCTCCCATTTTGGAACTTTTGTTAACCTATAATCATGTTTCTTTGCCCCATAGTTTCCCGTCAAAACAATAGTAACTCACGATATGTTTGGTCCTGTCATCTCCAGTTAAAGTGAACATTTATAGAAATGGTGGCCTTGATTGTGATAATATTATTAATTAAGTACTTCTTCCGTAAAGAAATTTTTAGTGATCTAAACATTTTTATATTTCTTTACAGAGGGAGTAGTATATACCTCTACCCTACAAACAAATGCTTACATGATTGATCAAGCACCGGGAGCAATGCACAAGCATACACAGCTAATTTACTGTTGCTGCTAAGATAAACAAATGTATGTACGCAGAGCTCGCAGGTGTCGGATCAAGCGACAAGTATCTGCCTTGGAAATGCCAAATGACTTGGGTGGGCGGGTGAGATATTGTTCAGGCAACTAGACAAGAGTCTTGTTCTGAGCATTTTTATTCTAATCAAGAGGGTGAGTGCATGATTCAAATAATTGTAAAGCTCCATACCCGAGAGAGCTACAAATTAGACTAATGCTCATTGAGAACTTAAACCACTCGGCGTGCCGGGCGCCTCGTGCACGTAAACTCCAAGCTCTCGGCCATACCGATGCATCACATTATGGCCTTAAACTAGTCACAACGGGCAGTAACTTAGGGGGTGTTTGGTTCAAGGACTTTTTAGTCCCAGAGATTAGAAAAAGTCTCTAGGAACCAAACGGAAGGGACTTTTTCTACAGGGAGTAGAAAAAAACTCTACTAGAGAGTCTTTTTTGATTAGTCCCTGGGACTAAAAAAAGTCCTAGGACTTCTAAACCAAACACCCCCTTAGACTACTAGTAAGTAGTAACATGCATATATTGTTAGTCCATGTTACTATCTCTATATTGGTGTTATGAAACACTTCATTTATTAGGTTGTAAACTCATCTTGTCTTGGTATGTGTGAGGTTATAGTAACTAGTCATGTTACCACATGCCCCTTTTTCTCATTAATTACTCGCCACATCATTTATTTTGCCTAGAGATGAGTGATGTTATCATCTATATTACTCCCACTATGGGTAGTCTTAGACCGCCCCCGTGGTTCTTCAAGTGCATGCCGATCCAAGCCATGAGTGAGCACCTGGTCAGGACAGCTATGTGATGCCAGCTCGGAGGTGGCAAGAACATGAGCTTCTGGAATGACCCTTGGATCGACGGACGCTGCCTAGCACAGCTCGCTCCCCACCTTGTGCACTTGCAGCTTTGGTTGTAAAAACTTGCTCCCCTCCTTAATACAAAATGCATGCAACGCTCGTGCATGTTCTTGAAAAAAGAGAACTTAAACCACAGGATTCCTCATTCGCAAAATTTTGCGGATATTATCAATTTCCAGAGAGATCTGAAGGACTGAAATATCATCAAGGATTAGCCATGGTCAAGGGTGCGTGGAAGTTATCTAAACCACATGCCAGAAACTTGAGTTGGTTTCAAGACATTATAGATTTCAACTCTAACCTACCGCAACTGATTTGGGACTAAAAGGCTTTGTTGTTGTTGTTGTTGTATCAGTTTTTTTTTTAAGTTGAGTTTCCATTTCTAGAGAAAAGAGAATGCATAAGTACTAGTCAATAGGTCACATATCCAGTTATGTTGAGCTTTGAAATAATAGATTCAGGAAATACAGTGATCGGAAGAGAAGTGTGTCAAGTCCTTCGTTAGAAGTTCTGGAACTCGATTGGTGAAAACTTCGGTGGTTCCAATAAATAGAAATATATCCGTCTCAATCATCACAGAATAAATATAAGTTTGAGAAGTTGCGGGCGGCAGTTTTCTAGTATAATAATTTCAAAATATGTATGAACCTCATAAGAAAGTGGCGGACAGGTGCATTGCTTGCAAGGCAACGTTGGGAACAGCGGTGAGCCTTTGCGCCAACGCGCCTCCACAGCCCTCCTTGCCCGTCATCTCGCGGTGCTATGTTATATATGGCGCATTGCCTTGCTCAAGAAAAAAAAAAGATATTCAGAGACAGCGCTCTCGGAACCAACATATATATGTGTATATACAGTCAGATGCATGTTATTTGACTCACCAACTAATTAACCTGGGCTTGGATCAAGCTATATAATAAGTCTATCTACAATTCGCCCCCTTGACCTAACACACCAACACCTTTTATACATGGACGACCACGCGAGATTAGCTAGCTTGTCCAATTTGCTTGGAGGTAGCTATAGATAGGCACATATACAAGGTGCATGCGTGTGACGAGAGGATGGGGAGGGCGCCGTGCTGCGAGAAGGTGGGGTTGAAGCAAGGAAGGTGGACGGCGGAGGAGGATGACATACTCACGAAATACATTGCTCAGCACGGCGAGGGCTCATGGAGGTCTCTGCCCAAGAATGCAGGTAAATATGACATGAGCTTGCTGTGACTACTTTAGCGGGGTTTTCACAACAACTACTAGCTAGTTGATTAGTTGAAACTTAATGATCAAAGATATTAATTAACTAGCTACGCATTCGGGAAGAACATGTACTACATATGTTAACATATTCCTGCTTCCGTTGGTATGCAACTATGTATACTACTCCAGGGCTGCTGAGGTGTGGCAAGAGCTGCAGGCTACGGTGGCTCAACTACCTGAGCGACGGGGTGAAGAGGGGCAACTTCTCTAAAGAGGAGGATAATCTCATTGTCAAGCTCCATGCCACCCTTGGCAGCAGGTACGGATCCGTGGATACCATTACCAGTACAACTTCCTGTTTGCCTTTGCAAGAAGATATGTTATCAAACTATTATCTGTTGCAACTTCTTGTGTGTGCGTTTCTATTTTCATACAAGAGATATTTGCATTCATATTTTATTCTTATATTATTTGCATTCATGTGGAGACTGGTGTGAGAAACTCTAGCGGTTCGTACAGATGGAAGGGTAGACCAGGAAAGAAAAGAGGCAAGGGCGGCCCTGGTTTCTCTGTCACACTCTGATTTCGTTTGGCAAAAAGTTCGGTTGGACGAAGGGTTAGTAGGGAGAACCAGGAGGCGAGGAAGTGAATGTACCATGTTCCTTTTCTACACCTAATAATGAAGGACGGTGGTTTCTTCAAAATAAAAATGTCCGTCGCAGTGTGTTCTCTGAAATTTTCGTCTGTCATCTATATTTGCGCTGCCAAGTTCGAGTAAAAGCAGCTGTGTCTTATAAACTTGCAGATTTCTCTTCTCCATATAGCTATGCGACTTGGTACTAATAACGGGTTTTCTCCCTATGTGTTATATGAGCCGTGTGATAGTGATTATTTCCGAGTTTTCTCCATATATCTATGCGACTTGGTAGTTGGTACTAATAACGGGTTTGAGGCCTGCTGTGCCTCCAAAGGCAGCCCATGTAGCTCTGCGCTGCTTTGCATGTTTGTAGGGCTACTTAAATGCCCCGGCCTATTATAAACTGACTAGATGATTAAGGATCAGTCGCCCTTTTGCAAGTCTGTCATGTGGTTTGAAGTATAAATAAGAAAAATACTATGCAGGTCTTATTAACAAAAAATATTATTATTGTATATAATCAGATAGCGTCACCGGCTCAAACTTGCAGTCATGCTCGACAGCTTGAACTGTGCAGCTCACCTCCCGTTCACTATCTCACGAAAAACAGTGTGCGTCCTGCGCATGACCTGTTCACGAAAAACTCCAGTTCTAATTAATAATTAATCAATTTAATTCATCTATGTTACCATGACGTCATATCCACATGTAGTTATGCTATTTCAGCAAAAGAGCTCGCTGGATATATATGTACATGGATTCAGGTTCTGACACGTGCATGCTATGGAACTAGCGGTTCGTATTTTTTTCTAAAATGTTCTTATATCGTTTCAAAAAGTGTCTGCGCGTTAGAAAAATGATTGTGTGATTTAAAATGTGTTCGTGCTTTTGAAAAATGTTTATGTGTTATTTAAAAAGTGTTTGTGCATTTTATAATGTTTGTCTAGTTTTTTAAAAATGTTTTTATGTATCAAAATATTGCTTATGTATTTTGGAAAAAGATTCCTTTTTAAAAAATGTGTTCATGTAATTCTAAAAAGTGTTTGCGTGTTAAAACAATGTTAGTAATTTTAAAAAGCCATGTGATTCAAAAAATGTTCATATGTTTTAAAAAAGAATGTTGATGCACTTTTAAGCTAACACAATTTAAAAGAGAGTTGGAGTATTGGGGACGGTGTATGGAATAGGTGCATGGTGTAGCTCGCGTATGGCGGCCCTCACGTCAAGCCCGACTAGATTAGTTTTAAAAGTTATAAATATTCCTTTATGTTGGCGCGGTTTAGTGATAAGTTTGACGTGGGGTGGCCAAGATCATCGCCTTGGAGCGCCGTGTTGAAATAAAACATGACCTATGGAGGGATTGAGCCATGCTTATTGAGCTACGGGCATGATACTTCCTTTTTTCCTCCATTGCAACTGCAAGCATGAGCATGTTTTCTAGTAGTGGAATTAGAATTTTAATACAACAATCTTTAACATTATACCAATGTGTGTACGCTTTGTAATGGTTGATGTATGTTACGTAGATGTTTCAATGAACAGATGCGGTATGTATTCATGATTGTGATGTATATTACGTAAATTGAAATGCTATGATTTTAAACAAGATCAGGTCCACCAAATCAACAACTTTTAATTTTTGTGGGATAGCAGACCATCTGGTGTCGTGCTTAAGACTTCTTCACTCACTCAGAATGCTCAGTGTACACTAGAGAGCGGCAGCTGCTAGTAGTCTAGTAGAGCCCTGGACCTCGCCTCTCAAGATTTGTATTTGTCAATGTTCTTAGTGGTGTTGAGGATCTTCTGAAGTACTCCCTCCGTTCCTAAATATAAGCCTTTTTAGAGATTCTGATATGGACTACATACGAAGTAAAATGAGTGAATCTGCACTCTAAAATACGTCTGTATACATCTGTATGTTACGCTCTAGAGCTTGAGTAAAACAATGAAGAACAGTATGCTAGTGTATGCAGGGTTGGATGGATGGTGCAGGAGAACCATCTTAAATAGAGATGCATTGTGGAATACAAGTAGTTATACGACTCTGACAGTACGTAATCACTTTGCTCAGCTCATAAAATGTCATGATCGTGCATAGATATCTCCCTTTGCTTTTAGCTGCGATGAAGTTTAAATAGATATATCTAACTGGCTAGAATGCACCTTCTTGGAATGGCTGACAGGTGGTCGATGATCGCCAGCTACCTGCCAGGGCGGACTGACAACGAGATAAAGAACTACTGGAATGCGCATCTCAGCCGGCAGATCTACAACTTCCGGCACGTGTACGTTGCGATTAACGAAACCACTGTAACCATCGACGTCGACAAGCTTTCCGCCACTACCAAGCGCCGAGGCGGCAAGGCGCCCAGGAGCACCATCAAGATGCAGCCCGTGTCTGAGCCCACCAAGTCCAAGGAAGGCTCAAGCCCAGTCGATACCATATCGACAACATCAAGCCAGGCGAACCCGGACGGGGACCAGCAACCCATCAATAACATGACTTGTTGTGTGCCCTGCAGCGAGGAGGCCATGGTCATGGACCCCGTAGATCAAAATGGTACGGTCCAACTCATGGGGACCAACTGCTCAGACGACTCGGTGAATCAGATTGGGGTTTTTGAGGAGGAAAGCGAGATGGAGGCCCTGCTTTCATGCATCGACGACGACATGCCAGCTAGTGTGCTTACTGGCATCGAGTGGGGAGGCCACTCTCCTCGGGTGGAGGATCTGCTGGACATGGACTGGAAAGGTTTTGCGTCCCACCTATGGGACCAGCCATCCCAGAGTGATCTGCTCCAGACCGTTGAGCCGCAGGCAATGACCGGCTCCGAGTCAGACGAGCTCGAGTCATTTGTCAGTTGGCTCCTCTCCGACGATGTGTGATAAGAGAATCAATCCAGAACATCCCAAAGAGGAAGATGAATGGCAATGGCACCGATGAGGAGGGTCCTTCGACAATGGATCATGGAAACAACAACGACGAGCTATGTTTTAGTATAACGTAGCTAAGATATTAGGAAAACAAGCTACACTAGCTAAGATCGAGCAGGAACCAGAGGAGGACATACCTGCTGCCTTGGAATGGGTTTCACTCGATGACAGTGGCGGTCACCTCCTCGTGTGTTTCTGAATATAAACCATGAAAACAGTCTCATGGTTTGGTGAGAGTGATGAATAGTAGTCTTTTTGTTGCTGAAGCCATCAAAGAAGTAAAGAACCTGCAAGGTTGCACATAAGCCAAAGCAGTTTGAATCCCAACAGGAAACAACATCTCGGTCCCGTTGCTTGGTGAGTGGAGAACTGCACTGTCAATGACTAAGCTACGGTCCCTGTAAACGAAAATGGCTAAGCTACAGATCTGTGTCCAATTTTGCGAGTTTGATTCTGTAGCGTAACAGGTCGGCGGTGTTGGGATGGATGTACATTCGGGTAACTAAAAATCTAAAACCGATTGACCTGTGCATATTTGGGTAACTAATTTGGATTCCATTTGGTAGCCTGCCGTTTCATGCACTTTCAATAATATCAATTTAACCCTTGTCTTCCTCAAAAAGAAAAGAATTGAACTTTTGCCCAAAAAAAAGGGGGGCTGGGTTTTTACATTGAAAAACTTGTCTCTTCTTGATGCAGAAGATACATCGGAGCACTAAATTTCAGCTATTGATGTGTATGCACATACCTGCTATTGATGCAATGATTAGATCCTGAAACTCTTGCAGTACTCGATTGCAAACATTTGTTTTGTATTTATGAACATGGACAAATGTTCCCTACAAGCAGTGGTAGTTACCACCACTTGCGTTTTGTATGTTGTATGTAGTATCTGTCGGAACCGAGAGTATGTACGTGTAGTATGTAGTATATAACAATGATTAGGTAGTATATATACTAATTTTTAGGTAGTATGTATAATTTTTTGAGTATGCTCATTTTTACGTACAAATATATACGTATTTTACAAATATAACAAAAACTATGGGCTCATATGCAATTTTTTCATGTAACTTGCTTTGAAATATCTTAGATATAGTATATGAACATATTCAAAATAATAAAATATTATATATATTACCGCATGGTAGTATATGAGACATGTGGGGTAACTACCACCGGGTGGTAGGATGAATTTTCTCTTATGAACATATTTTAAATTTACAATAAATATTTGAACACAAGATATTTTTTAGATTCACGAACAATTTTTGAAATGGTGTACTTTTTTAAAACCAGTAACATTAATAAAACTCCATGAAGTTTTCTTGAAATTCTTGAATAAGTTATCAAATTGATGAACATTTTTTTTCAAATTCATGATTTTTCTGAAATTCAAAACTTTTTTCAAATTTGCGACAAATTTTTGATATTCAGAAAAAGTAACCCCCGGATTTTTTAACTTGAGATAAGTGAAGAGATGATGAAGTAAGGAAACAAAAGAGGAAAACAAATAAAAAGAAATAAAGAACCGAAAGATGGAGTTTAGTGCAGATGGGCTAGCTTGCAGATGGGCCGGCACCAAATGTATGCGGAGCGCATCGGGCTGTGCAATTGGTGGCTATTTGCTGACCTACGCTGCAAATAGGAGTTTCCATCAGCGCTTCAGGTGTCCGAATCAGCCTGTGGCACGAGCCATGGCCTATTTGTCGTGTGACCGTTGCTCTCTTGGCTGCACCACTCGATCCGCTCGCTAGCTTTTCTAAAAAACAAAATTGCTCACTAGCTGACTGCTCGTGCGTGCATCTGCTCACCTTTTCTTGGGTGCCGCTATGTTGTTTTCGAAAACAAAACCGGTTATAAATTTTTAAAGTAAGAAATGTTCATGAATTTGCAAAACGTTCACTGATTTCAAAAAATTATGGATTTAATTTTTGTGAATTTGAAAAAAAGATCATGAACTTGAATCTATGGATTTTAAAAAGTTCATGGATTTGAAAATTGGTCATGAATTTGATTTTTTATGAATTAAAGAAATCATGAATTTTCAAAAGTCATAAATTCAAAAAATGTTCCTGAGTTTGAAAAAGTTCATGAAATTTTTGAAAGTTCAGATATTAGGAAAACGTTCATGAATTTCGAAAATGTTAAATTATTTAAGAATGAAAATAAAATATCAAAATACAAAAGGTAACAAAGAAAGCAGTTTGAGGCTTCTAGAAGCTTTGAATTCTGTCCAAAAACTTCTACAAGCTTCCACGAAATTGATCAAAACCCAACCAAAAAAGAGAAATGACAACAAGAAAAAAACACACGAAAAATTATATATGAAACCGACCAAACAAAACCAAATCAAAAACAAAATGCCATTTTCCGTGCAACCTTTGCTCTCTATTAGCGCCACCGCTCGATTCGCTCGCTAACTGACTGCCCATCCATTCAGTCGCTCACGTTTTTTTAAGTAAGAAAACAAAAATGGCTCTAAAATTTTAAAGTAAGAAATGTGCACGCATTTTAAAAATGTTCACTGACTTAAAAAAATTAGTTAATTTGAAAAAATAATGAATTAAATCCTTTTCAAGAATTTGGAAAAAGTCATGAACTTGGAAAATATTTTGGATTAAAAAATTTAATGGATTTGAGAAGTGGTCATGAATTTGGAAAAAAAATTATGAATTACAAAATCATGAATTTTCAAAAGTTCAATAATTTGAAATATGTTCATGGGTTTGAAAACTTCATGAAATTGTTGAAATTTCACAAATTTGAAAAAATCTCATGATTTTAGAAAATGTTCAAATTATTTTCAAAAAATAAATGAAAATAAAACAGAAAAAAAGACAAACAAAAAGATAACCAAAAAACATTCTGAAGTTTCTAGAAGCTTCCAAGTCTGTCCAGAAGCTTCTACAAGCTTCGAACAAACAGATCAAAACCGAGCAAAAAGAGAGAAATGGAAACAAGAAAAAAAAGAATATGAAACAGACCAAACAAACCAATGTAAACAAAGAAAAAAAAAGAGAAACCAGCCCAAAAAGATTAGAGGCTACCTTTGGAAGGTTCCCAAAACCGGTAAAGAGTTACAAGGGCAGCCCATCTAACTCCCCTAACGTTGGAAGAGGGTGTACGCTATGTACCAAAACTGAAGTAAACGGCGCGTGAAGAGCGAAATAAGAAATGGAGAAAAGATTAGCCACAAGTTTTTTTTTTGATTCATGCCACCTGCGGTCTTGATCGTGGCTCGGCTGTATTTGTATTTAGACTGAAAATATATGGGCTTGACTAGTAAAATCCGTGGGTGGTCCATAAAAGTGTTATTGGATCACACTTCATTTGCATTATGGCCATCACAAAATATGAAGACTTTACTATAATTGTTCTTACAGTGAATCTTACTATGTAAGTGAACATAAAGGACACATCTAGATGACATGGCAACAACATATATAGTCATAAGCTAGATATAAAATTGGCCTTGCTCTTAGTTTGTCCTTCAAAGCACAGCCGCACGTATAGGTATATATAACAGCAAGATTGTGTGGTCGGATATATGGGTGTATGCATCAACACGAAACGGTAGCTTGTGCTGTCACACACATCAATGTATTTTGGCTACAACGATAAAGGTTAGATGAAGGACCATGCAATTGATCGAAGGACCATGCACACATTACATGCATGGAGATCAACAACATGGCACGCGCGCATACGCCACCTAACTAATGTACTCCCTCCGTTCCTAAATATAAGTTTTTTTAGATATTTCAATATGGACTACATACAGATATATATAGACATAGTTTAGAGTGTAGACTCATCCATTTTGCTCCGTATGTAGTCCATATTGAAATCTGTACAAAGACTTACATTTAGGAACGGAGGGAGTATAAAATATAGGGCCGTTTTGATCGAGGGACCATATGCTGATATGCATGCACACACGTGGATATCAACAACGCACGGCACACGCCTGCTAACCAATATAAGTCCATCCGTAGTTAGCTAATTTTTCTTCACAGATTCATGATTGGGAATTTGGGATGGGAAAACACCCCGAAGTGGTCAAGAAATGATGGCCCAGAACGAACCATCATGTTTAGAGGCTGAAGTTTTTTTTCGGCGAGTAGTGGTCGGTTTGGTTGCCTCCCCCGTGTGTCCCTGGATAGTGACCGGTCAGTTCTTAAATTCTCGTTGATCCTTTGCACTACTGATTGCCGGTGCAGCTTTAGGCATCCGCGGCTGGTGGTGGATCTTGGTCTTCATCGGAGGTGGAGCAGTGGTCGTCGCTGTTGTCGGATAAGGAGTCGGAGATGACAACTAGCTCCTTCATCTGCCGGACAACTCTGTCCTGCTGCCGCTTCAGCTTCGCCATCAAAGCCGTCTCTCCTGCCTCATGCTTCAACTGCTTGCGAAGTGTGTTGGCTCTATATATAGGTCGAGTTGTTGGCTCTATATATAGGTCGCCGGACTGACGGAAGTACAATGGCTCCTCTTGTCAAAGATTCGACTCTGTTCCACACCGCGCTCCGCTTTCGTGCTACTACTTTTTGTTTGCAAAAACGGCTAGGCACCATATCTGTGGGTTTACTGTTTGCGAAGTGTGTTTTATGTCTTTGTAATAACATGGTACTTCTTGTAATTATAGAATGCCATTGGGTTGTGGTTTGATATTTCTTACTTTAATCACAAATTTCTCCTTTCGACTATGCTGTTCGGTGTGCTTGTGATCTGTATGCTATGACACTTTTGCTTATATATTTCAATTGTAGTGAGTGTTAAATAATTGAAAACATTTATTGACCTACGTACTACAATGGTTTCTAATTTCATAATGCTAGGACATAAATTAGTGTTCACTGTCATCTTTTGTTGCCATCCATGATGCTTGAAATCGTACCAGCTTGTATGTGCCCTGATTTGATGATCATTTGGATCCCAGTTTAATTTCTGTA